CTTAAAAAGAGCAAGGAAGGGATGAAACCAACAGAAAAGAAATGCAAGCAGAAAGGGATAAATGTTACAAAATAAATATCCATAACAAATCCAAATAATCTACCTAATATAAATGAGCCAATTACAAAACATATGTTGTATTACTGAATAAAAAGTGCTTTCTATTATGTGCCTGAATGTGTTTCTTTAAAATATACTGCAAAGATACTAATAAGAATATATATGAGAAACAGACACATACATAAAAGAACCTCCAAATGCATCATGAAGAAACAGTTCAACCCTAGAAAAGGAGGAAAAGAGTGGAATAGGCACTTCAAAATATGCAACATATCATAGAAGTTGTTTTCCTCTTCTTGGGCCTGTTGGTTCATTTTCTCAATTGCCCAGATGAGTTATTGTTAATAGAATTCCCTGCTGGCTCCTCTGGGAGTTAATTTTCCTTAGGTAGCCTTTATCAAGCTCCCACCCCCATTCCAAAGGTAGGTAGCAATGACTGGAGGCTTTCTCGCTTCCTACAATACAAATTGATTAGATTTATAATTTTGTTTCTAATTTTCAGAAGAAAAGAGAAAGAAGTTCACCTTTGTGTCACAGGCAAGAGCTGAGATTACTGCAAACTACCCAGCTTCCAGGGACTGCAGAGATATTTAGAAGTCCTGGTGATTTCATGGCTTGCCATGTGAGGACTCTGTGGATCCTCTGAGCCTGCCTCCAGGCTTCCTTGCTGGGTGTTTGCTTGGGATCTGTATGCATCAGAGGCTGTGGTTAAGACAGACCTTTGTTCCCCTTCCCATATGCTCATGTGTTTGTCACCACTGTGAGCCATGAACTGCAACCTTCTATATTCACAGACTCTCCAGGAGTCTACATTTGGGGGAGTGTGCAAAGGCTTTAAGGGAACAACCTGGAACTTCCTGGTCAGGAAGGGAGATGAGCACACTCCTGAGATGAGTTAGAGAAGCTGGAGTGTGGGTTATCTGCCCCACATACAGCCCTGCTTTGCTGAGTGTAGCTTCCCCTGCTCACTGGAAGCTCAGCATAGTTGCGGGTAGACCTGGCCACTTCATCATGCTCTGGGGTACAGGGATCCTATTGGAATACATAGTGACATCCATGATGCTACAGGAAAATTCTCCAAACTGAGAAAAGAGAGGATCAGAAATGAGCAGCTGCTATCTGAACCCGGAGCCCAGCACCTTATGTAGGGAGTCGTCCTGTCCAGACTTTCTAGAGTCCATTTGAGGACTGAGGGTCCTCTGCTGTCTGACCCTTCTATGAGCAGGTAAGCCCTGAGCACAAGTAGGGTGGCTCCAGGGGCCAAAGCTCTTTATTATTGATGGAGGGAGGGTCATCTTCTCACTGTTGAGGTACTCACTTCTGTCTCCTTTTCCCCTAGGTTTTCTGGATGTCAAAGTTATCCACTCCCCAAGGTAACTAATCAAAGCCAAAGGAGGAAAGTCCATTCTGCTATTCTGCCCCACCACTGGACACAACATTGTATATCAACAGACTCCTGGCCAAGGCCACCAGTTCCTCATTCAGCATTATGAAATGCGGCAGAGATCTAAAGGAAGCCTATCTGACTAATTCTCAGGTCAGCAGTTCAGTGAATATCACTCCAGCTGAACATGAGGGCCTTGGAGATGGAGACACAGCAGTTTATCTCTGTGCCAGCAGCTTGACACTGCTTTGCAGAGCTACTGGCTTTGTTTATTCCAAACTTCTAGCCCCTGCTGAGAATGGCATTGAGCGGGGATAGGGAGGGTTCATCTTAACCCAAGCCCTGTGGATGACTGCAGTGCTTTCCTAACCTGTCCCTGCTCCACTGTGGTCAGCATCAGGACCTAAGGAAGTTCAGGTTCCAGGCCAGAAGGATGCTCTCAAGCTTCTGCCTGGATATGTCCTTCCTCACTTCTGGCAGAGGCCCTATTCTGTGCTGGTGTGCGTGTGCATGCAGTGTGATTGATGAATATGGTAAATGTTTAAGCAAAATCAATGATTACAGTAAAAAACACATTGCTATTACCCCACCCCTATCCTCTCTCTTGCTTTGAACACACTCATTCTATTATTCTTGCCACTCTATGAAGCAATGCTGGAGAATTTCACTAGTGTCTTTAGCTGTGCTGCCTTCACTGTCATTATGTCTTAAATTGATTCAGATGTTTACCTTTTAGGGATATTTGCACTTTGGGCAAGAGCCAGAAGTTGCTTAGTGCTAGATCTGATGAATAAGGCCAGTGAGGATGCTCTGTAATAATATGTTTAAGATGCTCCAGAGTTGTAGCATTTGAGGAATTCTGATTCCAGCTTGCAAAGCAACTCTGACAAACGGACATCCAGAACTATGGCATAAACGGTCAGGAGCCATGAAATAGGTGCATCAGGGATGTTTTCAGGAGGATTAATTGTCAGGTGTCTTTTACTCTAATGATTTCCTTTTACTCTTAAATATCCCCTCTATATTCTTACACTCCTTCTCTTATATGTTAGTGCAAGTATAGACACCAAGGTATCCCCTTTATACATGCAGATTTTAATGTTTCACTAAATAGACTGTAAAGTGTATGAGCTACATTGGCCTTTCACAGTGGTTAATATTCACAAGCATCAGAAGCAGGATTGATGCCCCATCTTAATGTCTCCAAAGTCAAAGTTCACCTAAAATCCCAAGGTGGTCTCTGATCTTGGTCAATATATGCAGCAGAATTCCATCTCTTCCATTTCAGGACTGCTGAGCAGCAAGAGGAGGTCACATTATAGAACACAGTTAGTATGGCTATTTGCCATCAACTTTCAGGACACATAATTTTAAGCCAGAGAATGTTTGTCCTGTCATAGCTCTACAAGGGAGCTGTGCATTTGCAGCAACAGAAAATGTGCAATTTACTCATTAATTGAAAATTAAATGCAAAGGAGATATTGCTGGTAGGTGAGAGATTGATAGGAGATGCTTATCATCCCAAAGAAGTTAAGGCATTGTTTGGAACAGTATTGTTGTTGTTTAGGTTATGGTCCTCAGAGCTACACAGGCCTATTTGTTTTATCTCAGAAACTCCTACATTTTCAGCTGGATGACTTCGTTCCTCACTGTCACCTAACTATTGTCTCTTTGTCTCTGAGAAGCAGCAAAGCTCTGAACATAGATGGAGAAGCTTTCATAGGTTGACCAGGCTCCCACACCAGTGTATCAAGCAAATGCTACACTGATCTCTTCCTGTATCCTCTTCTGATTCTGTGTGTTCCTCCCTGGAGCGCGACTGGAGAAGACATCCTTCATGATCCATCAAGATGTGTAGTCACAGGGAGAAGGCCTTACTCTGACCTATTACCCGCACGGGAAACAACAGTACTCAGTGCTAGTGAGTACTTGCTAACTTTTCATGAGAGAGAATTTATGACTCCCTATGTCATGAATAGAAGACGTTCTGAGTTTAGGACTACTGGAGCAACAGAAGGAGGTTACATCACAGGACGTAGTTACTATAGCTAATTTGCAGTCAAAATTCAAGACACATAATTTTAAGCCAGAGAATGTTTGTCCTATCATAGTGCCACAAGGAGGTATGCATTTTCAGTAACACAAAATTTGTGACTCAATCATTAATTGAAAATTAAATGCACAGGAGATATTGCTGGTAGGTGAGATACTGACAGGAGATGCTCATTTACCCAAATAATTTAAGGTGCTGTTTGGAAGAGTGTAGGTGTTGGTATTTAGGAAGATCAGCTAGGCAGTCCTATGTGTTTTATACCAGAAATGCTTGAATCTGAGCTGGAAGACTTCATTCCTTACCCTCTCCTAACCATTATGTCTGTACTGTCTCCAAGGATCAGCAAAGCTCTGGACATAGATGGAGAAGCCTATGCTGACCAGGCTCCTGTGCCAGTCTCTTAAGCAAATTCTGTGCTGATCTCTTCCTCTCTCCACTTCTCGTTCTGTGTGTTCCTCACTGGAGCATGATTGGAGAAGACATCCTTCATGATTGCATAGAGATGTGTTGTCACAGGGGGAAGGTCTTACACTGACCTGTCACCTGCAGAGGAAACAACACTCACTGCTAGTGAGAACTTGTAAATTTTTCATGAGAGACAATTTATGACTAACTTTTCTTATGTCATGAGCACCAGATATTCTGAGAGAGTACAGAACATTTCTCTTTGACAATGTAGACACTATGCCTTCAGTTTATGTCTTAGCAAAGATCTCATCCACATCATGAAGGAACCATCTTTCCTTCTTTGAGAGACGATAGCTGTAGAGGACAGACAGGTCTTAAACCTCTGGTCCTCCTGCTTCAACCTTCCAAGTCCTGGGATCACAAATATATTTGTATCTTTCATGCTGATTAGCGTTTTCTGCTTTTGACAGGAAGTCCAATCGTGGTGACTCCATTGGTCCAGGGTGCATGGCCTCCCTTGAAGGAAGGAAAACTTTACATCCATGAGGACACACAGTGCCCTGAAACTGCTGGTCAGCATTTCTGATAGATGATTTGGTGTGAGAAGTTGCATGACAATGATCTTGACTTTGATACTTTTCAAACTTTCTACATATCAAGAGGCTCTTCTACCCAAGTATATAACCTCAGACTGACTTCCAGTAATTACCTTATTTAAAACAAAAAGTGCTTGGAGGTAACCTTATAGCAAAGGAACTATAGAAGGCATGAGAAATATTGTGAGAAGTCTCTCTAGACTGGAGAAATATGAGAAAAAGATAAAACAGTATACAAATAAGTATTTACATCCTAATGAGATGGCTGTAGGAACAGATTTCCATATTAAAATCAGGGAAGAGGCATATGCACTTGTAATTAAAAACAGGTTGCACATCATTTTCCATTTGGGACACATAAATTGTATATTTATGGCATGTATAACATGAAATTCAACACAGATACATGTATACATTAGCAAATACACATTTATAAGTGAAAATTGCCTTTTAGGGGAGGAGCATTGCAGCTTCTCTACACAACTCATGCATTTGTCAGGACAGTGACATCCCTGAGTCACAGAAATCTCAAGTTCTACTTCCCTTAGATAGAACTGGAAGATACAAGATCACTGCCCTCATTGAGAAATGGGCACCAAGCTCTTCTCCTGGATGACCTTCATTCTCTTGTGGGCAGGTGAGTGTGGGCTATCGGTGGGCTTCCTTCCCTAAAATTCCCAAAATCTCAACACAAGCCTTCGTCTCTGGGCTCTTCACCGGGTTCTTTCTCTGCCATAGGACATATAGAGGCTGGAATCACCCAGAGCCCAAGATACAAGATCACAAAAACAAAAGAAAAAGTGAGTTTGAAATGCTATCAGCCCAACAGCCATAACTCCACGTACTGGTATCGACAAGACCCAGGATACGGACTGAAGCTGAACCATTACTCATACGGTGTTGACAACCAGGACAAAGGAGAAGTCCCTGACAGATACAGTGTCTCCAGAGAAAACACAGAGGACTTTCCCCTCACTCTGGACTCAGCCACCCTGTTCCAGTCATTTGTGTACTTTTGTGCCACCAGTGATTCCACAGTGCTGCATAAGCACTCCCTCTCTCTACATAAAGTGTTGTTATGGAGACTGTGGTTGTCTGTGCCTACAAACCCTGGCTCCAACTTCTGAAGTTCCAGCCTCTGTAGGAGTCACAGAGTCCTTGACATGAACTGCTGCCTCCCATTCTGGCACTCAGTCCTGATATTCTAGCCATGCTGGTCTCTGCCACACTGAAGTTCACCTCAACACCCTGAGAGTCCTGGTTTTCTCTTCTGTATCTCTTAACACTGGCAGAAATGCATCTTTAATTGTTACATAATAACTTCCTTGGTTCTCTGGAAACCAGCATATTTTTCCCATCCCTGAGCATTTCAATGACTTCTACTACCAGCCAACCCCCATTTATAAAGGGTCTCTGCTCCCATCAGCCTTTGCTCTCTGGGGCCTTAGCCCTGCCAGGTCCCTTGTTATCGCACTTAACTTACCTGCCCATCCTCAGTCTGTACCACATTTCCTTAGCTCTGGCTCCCCAGCCATGTTTCTCCACAGTCAGTTCTGTCCTCCTGTGCCATTTTGCACACAATGGACACTTTTTCCCAGGCCATTTCTTCTGTGAAGAACATATGTCACTTCCTCTTCTACAGGATGTTATCTTCATTCCTCTGATGAAAATATATTTCAGTTACACTTCATTGTGAAGAAAAGGTATAAGTCTTCTAGAATGGATTGAGAAAAACATTTCCCTTTCATTTGAGGAAAAACATTATTAATAGAGGTACAAAATATTATAATACATGAGGAATAATATCATTTCAGCTGTATTAAAGTCTTTGCATCAAAACTCAATGTAAAAGTAAACATTGAAGATCTGGACCAGAAAGAAGCATGTGGAATGTGCATAAGTAATGAAGAATCCCTGTAATAGAAGACATCAATACCCATTGCATACAGGTGGTTCCTTAGGATTTGCAGCCTCTTTGCAATTGGAAGATTCAGAATCTGTCTCCAGGTCCAGATGTGGATAAAAATGATGTAACCCAGTGCCAACTCTTGCCCTTTAAAATACCACATCACACTATGTTGGGGCCCCTACAAAACCCCGCATTTGGACATTTCTAAGTGCAATTGATAGAACGGTACTCAAGATTCAAGTTTATAACAGTGAAAATGTCGTTATTCAGTAGATCACAATGATAAAAGCACACAAATGGGATCAAGGGGAATCTGTAGTCTGCTACCTTATATTTCTTTCCATTAGGGAGGATCAACACAGTTCACCCTCTACCCAGACTCTAAAATGTGTGCAATCCTTTTCTTGTAGATCCATGAAATTTCAGAGACCTAGAGATTTTACTGAAGACTGACACATTGCTTTCCCTGCCCAATGTGTATCAGTAATCTAGTTCTCAGAAGTAAATTAAGTGCTAAGCATGTTGGTTGCACCAACACCAGACAACATGAACCACAGTACTCAGGGAAGTTTTGTTTTGTTTTGTTTTGTTTTTTATCAAGTGCAGAACACAGTTTGTTCAACAGCTAAGCTTACATATATCAAGTAAAGTTCAACTTGTGAGTAGAATTTTGTTAGCACAACACACTCATCCTATTATGTCAGCTATTTTTTATGGTTTTCAGCACTATGAATCTATGATGAACATTAAGTATTAAGTTTAAAATCCACATTGAAGGATGATCATGGATTTTAGGTTCTTTGGACATGGTAAAAGGTGATTCTTCCCATTCCTTTCCCTCCCCCAACCATCATCTCTGTCTCCATTCCCATTCCTATCTTTATACCATGTGGCATCTTCAAAGAGAACAACAACTCAGACAAACACTGAAAACCTGCAAGTATAGGACTTTATTGGAATCTAGGTTATAACATCTCCTTGTGTGGGAGAAAGTTCAGGGCATAGCTTATGGGATGGAAGGAGAAAAAAACTGGGTCAGGTACCATGTGTGGGCCATGGGAGGAGAACAAAAAGCCAGCCACTTACAGTGTATGGGCTGGGAGACAAGAAGAGCCAAGCCCGGCCTCCCATCACCACCCCTGTAAGCAAGTGCCTGTTCCAGAGAATCACAGGCTGAAAGGACAGCTATTGAAGTAAAATACAAGTTAGTGCTTATAGTATTTAATGTTTCATTTACCTTACAGCCTTAAATCTGGTAATGTGACCATCTATTTGGCAGATAACAACAGGCAATATAGCGTCCATGGGGTATCTTCCTCTAAAGGTGGTAGCCATTGTTAGTTCCCAATTGTCTTGTTATAAATCTTGTGTCATTCTCATTGTTTTGTTTGGTTTGGTTTTAATCTTCTGTGTCTTGTTTGATTTGATTCTATCTGATGGCATGTGCAGCTATTTCAAAGATAACCAGATACATTATGGTAGCCATTTTGGATTTGGTATTATCTTGTTTTGAAATCTTATATTTTGTTCATTGTTCTGTTTTTATTGGTTCAATTCTGTTCTTTGTTTGTTTGATTTTACTGTGTCTGAGGGAACAGGCAGGTAGTTTGAAACAAGAGCCATCATGTAATATATTGTTGATTTCTCAATATCTTGTTTTGAAATTCAGTATCACATTGTTTGTTTGAGGGCTTTATTCTGTTTTAGCTTGCTTGGCTTTATTCTCTTTAAAATAAAAAAAAAATAATAAAAGAACCCCTGGATCATCCCAGGGAAGACGTTTTAGCAGGGCTGTAAGCAGGAACAGCACAATCTGCACCATTCTCCAAGTACAGAGCAAAGAGAGCTCTCAATGTCCCAGACTGGAGATGCCCTCTCCCTGCTTAATCACCCCATGTGATTTAGGTTGTTCACCTGGATGTATTTTTGTCTGTCAAGAGTGGATGCATCTTGCAGTTAGTTAGAGGAAGCCCTGGTACAAATGTGCCAAACTTCGTCATTTCCACAGAGCTTGAAAAGCTGTGGGATCTGGACTAAAAAGTGACAAGTTAAATCTCAGAGGAGTGAAAGAGATTCCATGTTTCTCTACTCAACTATCCTTTGTCTTCTCAGAGTAAGCACGTCAGTTCTAGAATGTATGAGTGAATGTCTGGCCCTGCAACAACAGTGCTACAAAAAAATTCTAAGCAGATTTCTTCTCCACTCTAGTGTCACCTGAACACCATCCTCACAGAGATATTCATGCCATGTCTACACTACTCACACAGACATCAAAGGCATGTGACAGGCCTGGGACAATGGCATCATCTACTGGGAAACACATCAGCTGGAAATTCACCAGCATCAAATTTACATATTGTGACAGAGAACTTGTGAGGATAAAAATATGGAACTGATCACCCTAATATCTCTCTGTGTAAAAAAGACATAGCCTTCTTCCATGTGGGAGCTCAGCAGTAGCTCTTTGGACAAGCAGCAAAGACACCGCTAAATCATCAGTCCCCTTTTTCAAATGATTTTCTCAACCCTGCTTTCAGATCTTCAGAACTGTAAAGCTACATCACTGCAGTGACCGAGACAGCACCACCAAGTTTACATATTGTGACAGAGAACTTATGAGGATAAAAACATGGAGCTGATCACTGTAAAATTTCCCTGTGTAAAAAAGACCTAGCCTTCCTCCATGTGGGAGCTCAACAGTGACTCCTTTGGCCAGCAGCAAAGACACTGCTAAGTCATCAAGCCACTTTTTCAAACGATTTTCTCAACTATGCTTTTAGGGTTTTCACAACTCCAAACACTGTAGTGAACTACAGTGACAGAAACAGCTACTACTGTACCTCACAACAATGGTGCTGTCAGTGGTTGGATTAAAGTGAGAAAATAATTATTCATTATGCAGACTGTTGGGAATCCTACTTATCGACTGTCAACTCTGCATTTTTATTATAAAACTTTCACTACAATTTGATGAGGAAAAGCAGCTCAGACTGCACTGAAACAAAGATATAAAAGCAACTGTTTTAGATGTATTCTCAGTAAAAACAAGGAATCATGAAAAGGCACCACAGATCAAGTGGAATGCAAACATTAGCTGATTAAGAATATTTTTCTTTTGTGACTTATTGAATTAAAGGAAGATCCCAAATAATGAGGTCACAAATTAGAGAGCTCCGTGAAGATTTCCAGTGGGAAGTGTTGTTGAAGCTTCCAGATGGTGACATCCAGCTGACAATGAGAACAGAATGAGACATGAGAAGACCATGAAGGGTTGCGGTATGGTATCTGGGGAGCAGTGTCCTAAAATACTGCATGGGGTCAATGAAAGGGACCTCACAGTGTCCATGAGTATTTGACTCCATGACTAAAATACCACTGTGCTTGAATTCTGGGACTCACCTTTTTTCCTGTTAGCATTTTGAATTATGGCTGATGGTATTGTTTTCTGTCTTATTGGGGCACAATGGACTTATTCATTTCAGATTATTCCTGGCATTTTACAATTAATTCATACCAGGTAATCCTAGTACAGAGGCTGAGTGACATCATCTCAAGACTTGACATTTTTGGACAAAGAAGGCCTCACCCTTTCTGCTCCTGTGCACCAGGACCCTGATTCTGGCAACCTCCTTTCTCATTTGATCCTCCAGCCATGGGCCAACACATTCCTATGCTGGGTGCATTCTGTGTCTGAGGAGAGCTGAGAACACAAAGCCACTTCATCACATCTATATGTGATGACTAAAAATTTCCTGTTCTTCTATTTCTATTTCTTCTATTTCTAACTTGTGTCACCAGAAATCACATCAAAGCTGAAGGGTCGAACTTCTCCACATACAGGGTCATGAAGAAGGGACAAACTATGGTTCTAAGGTGTGATTCACTTACTGAACACAGTTGCTTTCACTGACACTGACAGACTCTGCAGAAAGGCCTGGAATTCCTGATGTCTTTTCAGAATGAATTTCCATCAGACGCATTAGGGATACTGCCTGAGAATGAGTGGCTCCCTGTTGAAAGCCCAGAGGGCATCAACCTCATTATGAAAATCCAACCAGCAGAGCAGGCAGGACTAAACCTTATCTCTATGCCAGCAATTTGACCACAGTGAGGCAGCACCACCTCCTTCCTCTGCAGAAACCTCATGTGCTAAGATCTGCCCAGTGATCAAGGGCCCTAGAAAAATGAGTCAGTGCCTTTTCCTTCACTTAATGGGAA